ATATCTATATCTATATCTATATCTATATCTATATCTATATCTATATCTATATCTATATATATTTTAAACTTCCCTGAGAGTTTTTAAATTTTACAACATGCACCATAAAGTCTTGATGATGATGGGGGCCAGTTTCCCTCAGCGCCAGTGAGCTAGCCAGTGCTTCTTGCCCATACAGCCTGGGAGATCTTCTGCGATCACAAAGAGGAAGCTGCCAGAAAGAAAGAAGGAAAGGTAACCTCTCTGGAGGTAAACTTTGGTCAAACCTGGGTTTCTCAGCAGTGTTTCAGAAATGTCCATTGAACACCCGCATACCCAGCAGGAACACGAGCCTTACACAAAGGACACAGATGCATTCATCAACAGTTCTACACCCCTAGAGATAATTTCCATATAACCCGTATCCGCCCCAAATCATCACAGCAGGTTTGCCTTGAAGCTGATTCAGGCAAGTGAGATACGGAGACTCAAGAAGAGCTGAGTTTTCATTCCCGGAGCATGTGGTGTATGTGGGATGCGGTGTGGGTTCCAAGAGTTGATGTAAATACTTGCATTTATGGCCTATCTATTACGGAACATGCCAACCTGTGGCCATATTATATTTACCCAAGTCAGTAAAAGGCCTCGATAAACCAAACAACAATCCATGGAATACCAGTGTCTGGTGGAGTTTGGTGATAGTTCTCCTTCTTTCCTATTTCCACTCACTTATCACATATTTGGAGGGCACCCACTATACGGGCGCCAGGCAGCCTTGTAGTCCCTACAAAAGTGAGCAAGGTGGGGAAGGAGGTTATACGCTTAGAAACAATAAACAAGCAAATAAACAAGATGACTTCGGAGCATGAAAGTCCTACCAGGGACATAACTGAGGAGATGTGACAGGGAGTGGCTAGGGGCCAGGAGTGGGAGAGTCACTGTTGACCAGGCCATCAGGGAAGGCTGCTCTTAGGAGAAGAGCCTGGAGCGGAGATCCATGGCTAACAGGAGCAAGCCATAGAAGGAGCCACAGGGAGGGCCTTCCAGGAAGAGGAAACTGCAAATGGGCAGGTCTACATCTAGCAAGAGCTTGCTGTGTTCAAGGAGTGGAAGCAAGGCAGACAACTGTGGCAGAACACCATGGTGGAGGAAGGAGGACCGTGCAGGCTTGAGGAAGGATTCTGACCAGGTACAGGAAGCTGGAGGTAGATGATGAGCAGGAAAATGACCTGAATTACAAATTACATATTTAAAGGAGTACCCAGAGGGCAGCGGCTGTGTGGGGAAAGCAGCATGTAAGTCTCCCTTTTCTCCTTTCTTCTGGGAAGATCACGGGCTGCAGAAAGCTCAGCCTTGCCTCTCCTTCACTCAGCAGGACCTCCATCAAAGCCTGAAACCCAATGCTCTCCTGTGGCAGGAGCCCTGCTGGAGGTGGCAGCCCGGGGGGACATCTGGATGCCTTTACCCGGAGCTGTCCCTGACTTGCTGACAGCTCTTCTGTCCTGAGTATTCTGTTGCTTCACATTTCCCTCGGGGGGGAAAAGGAGGAGGAAGTTTTCTGTCTCCAAGAGAGCTCTTGAGGGAAATTACATGAAGCCCTGAGACTAGATGTGCTGAGAGGGAAAATTTTGGCTGGTGGCCCTTTCTAGATGGTGTGCACACCCTGCACCAAGGAGCAAGCAAAGGCAGAGGGTCATTTTCCAGACTCCTGGCCTGCAGTAGGCAACGATACTTTGGGGTGGGGGTAGGGTTGGGGTGGGAGGGTGAAGCTGCATCACTTCCTTTTTGGGAAATGCCCCTCCCTAATCCATGTCTTCAGTAGATAGTTTGACATTCACGACCAAAGCTCCGAAGAGAAATCTAATCTGGAAATCGAGATTTAGAACTCAATGGGTGGCACGTGAAGTCATAAAGGGGAATGAAGAATCTTGGGGAATGTCTGTGGAATAAGAAGAGAAGAGAAGACCAAAACCCTATCTCTAGAGACATCAACATTTCAGGGTGAGCAGAATAAGAAGAAACAGAGGGCCAGGGGAGAGGCATGACCAAGGAGAGGGAGAGTCCTTCAAGAAAGGGTGTGGCCAACAGGGCCAACCAGAAATCCACGACCAGAAGCCCCGCTGCAAATGTGGCTGGTGCTTCAACAATTGGCTGGTACTCACTGTTACCCAGGCAACAGCATCCAGTTCTTTGAATAGGTCTGGCTTTGTGCGTGGAGGTAAGGGGTGGGGGAGGAGGGAGAAGGAGATGTCAGAGGCGTGGGACACAGATTCGGCAAAGGTTTGTTTCCCAATGAGGATTAACCTCAGCCAAGTTCTGTAGAAATTGGCCAGATGCCAAGGTTGGAGGAGAAACTATTCCAAGCAGAGGAGGTAGCAAGGGAACATCCTGGCCACTGCCTGCCATCTAGTATGCCCGCACTGTTGGGTGCATGTGCGAAAGTCGTGAGAGATCCGGCTACAGAAGACAACGGTGTGTCAACAGGACTTTCGGTCTTATTAAAGAGTTTACATTTTCTTTCAAGGCAATAGGGATCCACCAAGACATTTTAAGCAGAGGGCTGATATGATTAAATTTACATCTTGGACTGATCACCCTGGCAACAGAGAGAGGCTGTTGCATTAATGCAAGGTGAGAAATTATGAAAGACTGGCAGTGAGGGTGGATTTGTGATATATTGCGGAAGAAGAATTGTCAGCGCATTTCATATTTACTGGCAAAATTAGATGTTGACACCCTAAGTCAGGCTTGATGGCAAAGGCTGCCAGTAACAGAATTTCCAGTTATTAGCTGGGCACACGGCTCCCCAAAATAAGAACTGCATATCCACCTTCCTTGCCACTGTAAGGGCCATGTGACTAAGTTCCGTCCAATAACTTGTAAAGTGCGTGAGTCTTAACCTGGGAGCCTTCTTTGTAAATGACCCACTCCCTACCCTCTGCCTCTCTTATCTTTTCCTCCTTCCTACTGGAAGTGATGACTGGAACTGGGGCAACCATTTTGGACCTTGAGAGGACCATGACCTTAAGAATAGAGGTCAAACATAGCAAAGAAATAAGGGAGAAGGAGTCTCTGGGTCCCTGAGCCCTTCTTGGAGCAGAGCATCCTTATCAACCCAGGAGCACCTACCTCCAGCACCTACCTTTCCTGGTAGAGATAAACTTTTTTTTTTTTTTAAATCTTATTTAAGACACTGTTATATTAGACCTCTTTTAACCTTTTAACTAAGAGAGCTCTCTTTTTCAGCTGTTGATAAAATCACAAACTCTGAGGGCCATGATTCTGTACCACCCCTCAGCTTTTAGCATATTCCCCCTTTTGTCTCTAGTGTCGTTTTGGATCCTTGGCACTGAATGCACAGCCCTATATCTAGTAGGTGCTCAGTAAACACTGAAGAGGATGAGGAGGGTGCAGTATCCAGAACTGCTTTCTTGTTTTCAGAGGTTGTTAATCATCAGGTCACAGAAGAAATTTGCAATGTGAATTTCATCATGCAAAATAGTTAATGCCTTGCCAAGGCATTCATCCCAGCAGTGTAAATGAGTAGGGAGGAGAGTCCGGGAAGACTGACTCTGGTTACCTCACCTGGGGACATGCAGCCTTGAAAACACTGACTCTTGCGCTCCTGGGGGGCCCTGATTTGCATCCATTTACAGCAGGAAGAGAAGGGAATTCAGCATCAGGGTGAACTTGGAGGAAAGCTGTGGCTAAGGTTCAGGTGAGGACATTGGCTGACTCCAGGCTGGCCCCTCTCCCAGCAGCCTATGCTTCTTCTTTGTAGCATACATCCCCTTTACAACAAATTCATGTTTCCTGCACTTCTTTGTTCACTCTGTCTCCTCTACTAGAGCACTAGCTCCACCAAAATCGGGAACCAAGCCTGTCTTCTTCACCCTGACACCTGAAGCACTTCCGTGCTCAAGAAAATCCTGGTTGAGAAATAAACAAATGAATCAACCTTTTCAGGCAAAGAGGAAAGAGATTCACCGACAGAATCAGTCACGCTGTACATGGGAAAACCCCTTTGCAAGTTGTAAGGAAATTATTGTATTGATACATAAGATTATTCACTCTGTGGGTGAGCCCTGGTGGGAGTCTGGATCCTGAGTCGGCTTCCTGAGCTCAATTCCTATCCAGCCACGTAACCTTTCTTACCCAGTACTCCAGGAAATGCGAATGATTTTCAATATTCACTTAAAATCAAAATGAACAGTAAATCAGTTGGGGTCAAAGAGAACAGGACAATCAAAGGCTGTGCCCAAAGTCAGACTGAAATGACTGTGAGATTGTCCCCGCGCCCGGGCTTGGGAGCCGGGCCTGGGCTGGGTGGGGAGCAGCGCGCGTTTGCCCGCGGGGAGCGGGTGCGGGGGGAGGGCGCCCTCTGCCGGGGGTGAAGGAAGCGGCGTCCGCACGCGCGGCCCCCGGGTCCGCGGTCCGTCCCGGACCTGGGAGCGAACACCAACTTCTTCCAGGGGGAAAGGTAGAGGGGAAGAAAAACCCACTCCAAGTCCCGCCGAGGAGGTGTTCTTCACAGATCTTTTTCGTCCCCCGCCTTTACAGCCCCAAACTTCCCCCGGCTCAAGGGGAAGGACCGCGGTTGCCTGCAGAGACTACTGATCGCCCTGGTCCCAGAAAGCTGGGGTGCACCCTACTTCCCATCCCTGAAGTCCAAAGAATGAAGAGATTGCTTGAAACGATCAGAAATGGCAGGTCTTGAAGGACCCGCAGGACCCTCTTTTGACCAACGTTCCCTTCCCCTCCCCGAGTTGTGAAGCGCAGGGGCCGGAGACCCTCGGGCTGGATCTCCGCGTGGGAAAGGGGACCGAGTGGGGCCTGAGCGCCTGGAACTGGTCCTGGGGGTCCTGGGGGTCCTGGGGGACCGCCTCCAGGAAGTTTTTCGAAGGTAAGGGAGAGGCGCGCCGGACCCACGTGGGGGCCGAAGCCGGGCTCTGTTCCCCGCCTCACCAGCCCCCCACTCTGGTTGCTCATCTACAGAATCAGGAGGCGGGATGAGATGGTCAGATGGCCCCAGCCCTGTAACCCATGAGCGGTTGTCTGTCCTATTTTAGACCCGGACTGTGGCAGCGGGGGGAGCTGAAGAACAGAGGATGGTTTGGAGTGTGACCCAGAAGAAAACAAGGGGTGGGACCAAGTCACCAGCTCCCTTCACAAGGAAGGCATAAAAGGCCTCCTTAAGGACCCGGTCTCTCTTTATTGAATCGGGGGTGACACCTAGTGGCTCATCCGCCTCACCGTCACGGCGGTGCTGGTTCTCTGGGGTATCAGAAGCCGCACTTGCCTGTCCTTGGTACTCTCAGCTAAAAGCTTTGGAAGCGCCGGCGGGCGGCTACGGCTGACGTGTCCCGGACTTCCGGGGCTCTGGCCACAGCCTTTTTCCTGCCGGGTATGCAACTCCAAGTTAAATGCTCTTCTGGTCTGTCGAGCTGGCTTGGGCACATCCCTCACTCTCAGGCAGCAAGTAGGTAGTGAGCGATACAAAGAAGCTAAAGCTTGGTCCCTGCCCTCAGGTAACTCACAGCCCAGCTTGGGGAGAATGGAGCGGTAAACAAATATGATATTACATCGGACAAATATTGAGTGTTTGTTGGATGCTGTGGGGGTCACAGAAGGGGACTTTAGCTCTGCCTAGAGGCATGGAGGAAGGCAATAATCCTTGAGCTAAGTGGTTTTCCACCCCAATTTTCTTTAAATTCAAGTGAGTTAACGTCTAGCGTATTATTCGTTTCAGGGGTAGAATTCGGTGATTCATCAGTTGTGTATATATTAGATGATGTGGTAGGCAGAAGTTTATGGTGACCCCCAAGGTTCCCAGCCTCCAATGTACACACACCTTCTTCTGGTTATTCAAACACTGATTTAGGTTTCAGCTGTAAGAGATTTTGCAGGTGCAATGAAAATTCCCAAATCAGCTGACTTTAAAATCTGGAAATTATCCTTGGTGGCCCTGACCTAATCAGGCAACTTTTAAAAGAGACTAGGCTTGTCCTGGCAAAGGAGATTTAAAGCATGAAAAGAATGTATCCTGGGTGAGATTCTCATCTGCTAGCTCTAGAGATGAAGGGGGACACATGGCAAAGAATGTGGGCGGCCTTTAGAAGCTGAGAACAACCCCGGGCTGACAGCCAGCAGAGAAGGAGGAGAAACTGAATTCTGCCAACGACCAATGAGCTTGGAAGAGAACCCTGAGCTCTACATGAGAACACAGCCCCGGCTAACGCTGTGATTTTAGCTTTGTGGGAACCTGAGCAAAGAACCAGCCATATTGTGCCCGGCGGCTAACTTCGTGGCAATTTGTTATACAGCCATAGAAAATAGGACAGATGGCAATTTGAAAGAGAGGAACAGCATGGACGAAGGCTCAGAGGCATAAAGCAGCAAGATGCATTTGGAAAACTGAAGTCATTCGGGATAGGTGAACGGGAAGCGTGGGAAGCAAGGGAGGTGGTAAAATGTAATGCTGAGAACTTGGCTTTGGGTCAGAGAGACTGTGCCCTTGGGCTAGTTAGTTCTTAGTTCTCTGTGCCTCAGTTTTCTCAAAGGTAAAATGGGGCTCATACTAGTAGTTAAAACAAAGCACTGTTTAGTGGGACATATGCATTTGGAAGTTTCAACACCGTCTTGAGATATGATAAGTGTTCGAAAAATAGTGGGTAGTCATAGCTGTAGCAATTAATCATGTGCAGAATGGATCAGACTGAGGAGAGGCTAAGTGATGTGGTTTCCTACAGTGCAGTTGGAGACCCCCTTACTGGGATGGGCTGGAGAGCTTATTAAAAATGCAGATGCCTGAATCCTACCTTGAGTCCAGACCACATCAGACTCCTGGGAGGCGGAGAGACTCTGCAATTTCAGAAACTTCCCAGGTGACCTTTGTGAGATAACTAGGCCTTGGTAATAGTGCAGGTGAGAGCCAGTGACTGACAGAATCAAGCAGGGCATCGGCAGTGAGAACGGGAGGAGGGTGGCCGACTCCGAGGTAGGTAAGATCTGCAGAACGGGATAACTGAGCAGGAGGGACGGCGAAAGGGGCCAGTCAAAGGATTAACTGGGGACATTTTGGGGGGGGGGGTAGGTGGAGGCAGGGACATTGACTCAGGTTGAGTCCTGAGAGTCCAGGCATCCATGGGACATCCTGCTGGAAAGTCATGTAGACAGCTGGAAGGACTAAAATTAGGAAGTAAGTTGGGGCTGGAAATACAGTTTTGAATGTCTGCGAGGATAAGAAGCCATGGGACAGTGCCTGCAGAATGAGAAGGTGCTCTGGAACTGAACTTCGCATGGACCCGTCAGAAGGGCTGGCTGCGTGCTGTGTGGGGAGGGGTCCAGGAAGGTGGCCGTGACAGTGTCGCTGGCCTTGGAGCAGTCCAGATGGAGAAAGTGTGAACGCACCCCAAGACCTAGCTACCAGCCGCTTATTGGCAGGATGGGTGAGGCCCATTTCGGTGGTGTGAGGAAGGGGGAGGCCAGACCTCCTCAGGCAGCAAGTAGGGCTTGTGCTTCAGAATCATGGCTGTGAGGAGGGAAATCGGGTGGGATCTTGAGGCGTACACAGGCTTCCCCTCGTATCCGTTGGTATGAACCCAGACACATGGCCAACAACACCGTGACTCTGGCTGGGGCCCTCTGTGCCTGCCGGACCGGACTCAGGCTCTCAAAGAAGGGGTGCCCAGGTGCCCAAGGTTGAGGGTGCAGATACATTTATAGGTGTGGGACTGGGCCCATGACGCAGGAAAGGAGTGGGGTCGAGTCAGGCTTCTCCCTGGAGAGAAGGAGGCAGGGAAAAGGTGAGGGCCCACAGGCCGAAGGGTCGCTGAGGGCCCCGCTGGGATTAAATACAAGAATCCCGCACTAGTGATGCTTACCTGACACCCAGGTTCTCCGGGATGACACCCATAGTGATCGGCCTCGGAAGCACTAATAAGCGGCAGCTATCCCAGGGTTACCATTATTGTTATTTTATTACCCAGGCATTGGCACCTCTCTGCCCAGAACCTTCTGATTGCTTCCTACCTCACACAGAGTGAGAGCCGAAGTCCTAAATTAGGAGCTGAGCCTTCCTCTGCCGGCCCCCCGCCCCCACCCCCTGCCCCAGTCCTGCCTGCACCAACCACACGGGTCTTGGTGCTGTTCATCCAGCACAGCAGGCTAGGTCCCACCTCCACGCCTTTGTCCCTGATGTCCCTTCTCCCTGTGACACTCTTGCTGCGGTCGTCCCCATGGTTTGTTCCGTCCCTCCTTTGGAACTTTGCTCAAACGTCACCCTCGGTAAGACCTGCCTTGATCTGCCCGATCCCAGCTTGCCACACCCTTGTCCAGGTCCCAGACCTCCCCACCTGCCTTTCTGCTTTATTTG